GTCGAGTGAAAATTGATCGCTTGTGAGCTTGATGCAGCCGTTCCGAGAGCAGGTCGGGCGATGGGACGGACGTACTCGGTAGTACCGCACGGCAAAAGAGTACCCGCCGTACCCGACGCCGACGCCACCAGCAAGCGAAATCGTGTTGACGATCTTGTTGACGCCCATGGTTGGTCGGTCGGTCGGTATTGGAGGGTTGGTGACAATGGGTGAAGGCCGATCAAGCACGAAACTGGCCGAGCGATGATGGCTCTGCAGCTTTCGATGGGCACACTGGTAGTCGACGGCGCTGATGGGTGCTGCTGCAGCTACTGCTGCTGTTGCTCTTGGTCCAGCTTGCGATTGTGGTCGCAAGTTGACGGTGGAGGAAGTACGGGGGGAAGTTGATTTGCGGGGAAGAAGTGGAGAGAAGCGATCGGCAGTCGACCCAGGTCAAGCGATCAACAAACAGCTGTCGCGGTCACGACCTGTGCGTTTCGCTTCTTCGCCACGTTCCCCTGACCAAACGACGCGCCTACTCTTGTCGGGACGATGAGGTCTCGCTCGCTCTCGTGGTTTGTGCCCATGGCGCGCAGGTCGTGCAGACCAGGCGCAGACCAGGGTCACGGCAACCGAGGGGCTGGACGGGTCAAATCAAAACGAGAGAAAGAGCAAAGAAGACAAACAACGCATTGCCTATTTCCAATTACGCATTCGGCACGAAAACACGCAACGCTATCCCTCGTCCCTGGTTTCAATTTAGGCAAACGACTTGGCAAAGTCCTCGCACACCTGCGCGAGCTTGGCCTCGGTCTCGGCCGAGAGCTTGCCCTCGGCGCGGATCGTGGCGAGCAAGTCGGCGTGCGACGCCTTGAGGTGCGGCAGGAACGCCTGCTCAAACTCGACAATGCGCTTCGTGTCGACGCGGTCAAGGTGACCCTTGACACCGGCAAAGATCAGGGCAACCTGGTCCTCGACGGCGAGCGGCTTGTACTGCGGCTGCTTGAGCAGCTCCGTGAGACGCGCGCCACGGCCGAGCAGGAACTGCGTCGACGCGTCGAGATCCGAACCGAACTGCGCAAAGGCAGCGACTTCACGGTACTGCGCGAGGAAGAGCTTGAGCGAACCGGCGACCTGCTTCATGGCCTTGATCTGCGCGGCCGAACCGACACGCGAGACGGAGAGACCGACGTTGATGGCCGGGCGAATACCCTTGAAGAAGAGCTCGGCCTCGAGGAAGATCTGGCCGTCGGTAATGGAAATGACGTTGGTAGGAATGTAGGCCGAGACATCACCACCCTGCGTCTCAATGACGGGGAGCGCCGTGAGCGAACCGGCACCAAACTCGTCCGACATCTTGGCGGCGCGCTCGAGCAGACGCGAGTGCAGGTAGAAGACATCACCGGGGTAGGCCTCACGACCGGGCGGACGACGCAGCAACAGCGACATCTGACGGTAGGCAACGGCCTGCTTCGACAGATCGTCGTAGATGATCAGCGCGTGCTTGCCGTTGTCACGGAACCACTCGCCCATGGCGCAACCCGAGTAAGGGGCCAAGAACTGGAGCGGCGCCGCCTCCGAGGCCGTGGCCGCGACGACGATCGAGTACTTGAGCGCGTCGTTCTCCTCGAGCGTCTGCACAAACTGCGCGACCGTCGAGCGCTTCTGGCCAACGGCGACGTAGACACAGTAGAGCTTCTTGGCCTCCTCGTTACCGTCGTTCCAGCGCTTCTGGTTGATGATCGTGTCGAGCGCAACGGCCGTCTTACCCGTCTGACGATCGCCAATGATCAGCTCACGCTGGCCACGGCCAATCGGCACCATCGAGTCAATGCACTTGATACCGGTCTGCATCGGCTCGTGCACCGACTTGCGCGGGATAATACCGGGCGCCTTGACCTGGACACGCGTCGACTTGACGTTCTTGAGCGGACCCTTGCCGTCGATCGGGTTGCCAAGACCGTCGACAACACGGCCGAGCAGACCCTCGCCGACCGGGACGTCGACGATCTTGCCCGTACGCTTGACGGTGTCGCCCTCCTTGATCAGACGGTCGTTACCGAACACGACAACACCGACGTTGTCGGGCTCGAGGTTGAGCGCCATACCCTAGTTCGGTTTGAAACGGTTCGCCGCGGTCAGCTGGGTGGGTCTTTTGCTCGTTCACGGGCAAAAAAATCGGAAAAGAAGCCGTACCTTGATGCCCGACGAGAACTCGACCATCTCCTCGGCCTGGACGTTCTTGAGGCCGTAGACGCGCGCAATACCGTCACCAATCGTGAGGACGCGGCCCGTCTCCTGAATGTCGGCAGCGGCATTGGCGCCGAGGATGCGGTCCTCGAGAATCGACGAGAGCTCCGACGCGCCGGGCTTGGCGGCGGCAAGACGCAGCGACGCCGTCGAGAAGGCGCGGAGCGCGGCGGGGCGCGCCTGGATAGGAGAAAAAGGGGGGGGGGGGGGGGGGGAGCTGTCAGTTGGGCATGGTCGGCGTGCAAGGGCCGTGATCTGCGCGACCAGCCGGTCGGCCGGCGGAGCGTGAGCCGTGGGCCACTTACGTAGGCGGCGCGCGCGGCGGCGCGGGCAACGGTGCTGAGCGACATGGTGCAGGTGGTCGCGCGCGTGCTCGTGCGATAGATGGCGAGCAGCCGGCAGCGGGATGGGTTGGCCCGGCAGCGGTGCCAGCGAGAAGGCGTGTTGTGGAGCGCGGGCCCGTCGCGTGCGCTCACCTGACCAGAAGGCAAGCCGGCCGCGTTGGGCAGAGCGAACCGTTTCACGACCATTCTTTGTCAGGCTATCACTTTTACGCCGCGCCGCCGATCAGAGGCCAGAGCTGATCAGGCAAACGACCAAGTCGACAGTGCTCCACCGACGACTCGCGCTTTCACCCCAGCATCAGCAAAGGGCGGCCGCGCGCTGACAAGCTGCAAGCGCTATCGATTGGACGCCAGCAACCTACCGAGCTCGAGAGAATCAGCAACCCGTTCCGCGCACAGTTGAAGCAGCTCGACCACCATCGCCGTTTTGCGCCGCAACCCACCCCGGCATCATGAAGATTAACGCCAACACGTACCTGGTCCGTTTATGCCGCGCGCACGCTCGAGGAAAATGATCTGCCGACCATGGCGCAAGGGTGGCAGCAGCTGATCACCATCGCGTACGCGGCACCGTAACCACATCAAAACCAGATCCCGGCCGCGTCATCGCCGTCGACCAACGACGACGTGCATGGTCAGCTCGTGCTTGTGCCGTACCTCGCGTGCCACGTGCCGCAGTACCACGCGTGGATGCAGTCGCCGGCGCTGCTCGAAGCGACCGCGTCGGACCCGCTCTCGCTCGCCGAAGAGTATGCAATGCAGCGGTCGTGGCGCAACGACAACGACAGTACGTACTCTCTCCACCCGCTAGCGTGCCGAATTCCGTACCGAAACTGACCGAACCACTTTGATCGCGATCCAGAACTCACGTTCATTCTCGCGTGGTCTAAGATGCCGCTCAACTACGACCCGTCCGCGACCACTCCGTCCGAATACCTCCCCGCCGACGCCGAACCTGACATGCCGCTCGACACCGACGCCGTGACCACGCTCCGTTCCCTTGGCGGGATGATTGGCGACGTGAACCTCTTTTTCCACGACCACGACCACGACCACGACGGCGAATCCGACCCGCCGTCGCAGTACTGCGCGGCCGAAGTCGAAATCATGCTCGCCGAACCCGTTGCGCGGCGGCACGGACTCGCACAACGCGCGCTCGCGTGGACGATGCATTGGGCGCGCACGCATATTGGCCAACTGGCGCCGCCGGGCGTGGAGCTGACGAGTTTCCGTGCGATTGTCGGGTGGGACAATACGGCGAGTTTGCGCATGTTTCAGGAGAAGTTGGCGTTCAAGGAGATCAAGCAGGTGCCTGTGTTCCGCGAGACGCACTTGGTCTGGACGTGGCCCGAAGCGGTGGAGAAGGATGGCGTGAGCGAAAAAGATGCGGAATGGCCGTTTGCAGTGCCGAGGTATGAAGAGTGCGTGTTGCGCAGGAGTGATCCGCGTCCGACCTAAATGAAGGAGTTGCTGCTGCTAGATGGGTTGAGCGCAACTCTCCTTTGTAATGCCGACCCGTTGATAAACCTCAATATTTCTCCCAGCTATGCATGCCCTGTACAGGCGAGTCTACAGATGCCCAAATATGTGCAAGTGGGACCAATTATGCTTGCCACAAATGCCACTTGCAATTTATATTATGCTGCATCACGTATCGGATGACCTCAAAAAAAAGAAGAGTGGAATCTGACAAACGACAAGATGGATGTGATGCTTTGTTGCCACTGCAAGCAATAGGCACAAGAATGTCATCTCTGAAGGTGTGTGGCTGTGAGTTGGAGCACAAATCACAAAGAATGGTCTGCTTTCTTAGCGATCAATTGAAAAACAGAGCCAATGCGATTCTATCACATCCAAGAAGAGCATTTCGGGTGTTGAAAGCAAGTCAATGATGCTTGGAGTGAGCAAACCAAGACCCAATCTTCCTTCTGTTTTGCTGAAAACTTGGTGCTCCAAAAGCAGTAACACCACCCGACAATGAAGGGCGTATGGTGTAGAGACGATGTTTACTAACTAACTCCTTAGGCCACAGTGCAACAATATCAGGAGATGCAAATATGTGAATCAAGCCTTGCATCAGGCCACTCAAGGGACCACAGTGGTGGTGGCTCACTAAAAATGGTCTGTCCAACCCTTCGCCCGCCAGGAGACCCGAACCCAAAACTCCTCAGGAAAGCACGGAGTGCCATGAAAAGGGACGATCAAGGCACCCCCAGACATGTGGTCCAGAATGCTACATCACCCCCCTCCACCTGACCACCTGGCAAATTTGATGGATTGGCGCCTCGGAGAATTTCCGCGACGCGTTGGCGCGCCGAGAACCGCGCACGGCAAACGGCGAGAGAATGGCGCGACTCGCACATGGCACATTGGTCGCAGCGCAGTTCACCACGACCTAGTGAAGCTCAATAACGGATGCCGGGCCACGGGCGTATGGTGTAGTGGTATCACGCCTGCTTTGGGTGCAGGAGGTCTCGGGTTCGAACCCCGATTCGCCCCTCGATTACGATCTCATTGAGTTTTTGCACTTTTGCAATCTCGCTTGCTGCCATGCTGCCCCTGACTGGCCCTTGGCCAACCTGGCGATCCTCACGCCGCAGATGCCATCGATGCGGGCGGCCCCACACACAGGTGGGTTGTTGCTGTGGGCATGTGGTAGTGGTGGTGGTGTAGGTACAGGTGGTGCAGCATGTGGTCACATATGACGCCAGCAGCAGTGCAGCCACAGTGGCAAGAAGGGGTGCGAGAGCGCGGTGTGCAGGTCGACATGCGATAAAACCAAGCTGGTAGGGCGTGTCGTGGTGGCGGGCGTCGATTCTCCAGCAACCGTCGTGGTCCACACAGAGAGAGGCAAGAAGAGGAGCAAAAGCCAGATCGAAACTGTTGAGTGTGAGTCGACGAGAAGCAGGCTTGCGCGTCGAGATGCTAGCTGTCTGGCAACGCAGGTTCGAAACCTGCTCCTGTCGATAACACGAATGGGCCATGTCATGAGGTTCACCACGTCCAGTTCCACAGGCTGGAGATTCGGGGAGGACGCAATCGTTGTGCAACGCCGTTGTTGCCACGCACACCGGCCGCGCAGTAGCTGCAAAATCATCATGGCCGGCCCCGCTCACCGTCGTCCAGCTCCAGCGGTCCTGCTGGACGACAACGACGAGATTACGCCAGCGCTCGAGGCGGCGCTCGTGCGTTGCCATACCACCGCCCCGCCATCAACCGCACCTGGACTCCCCAAGCTGACCGAGTTCCCATGACGCCTGCCGACTTATTATGACGATAGAGGGCCATCTTTGCGCGGTTCGACGCCGACAAGGACGGTTACCTGAGCGTGACCGAGCTGCAGGCGTTTGCCGTGGCCACCAATGACCGCGAGTTTGACCAGGACACGCTCGACCAAATCCAAGAGTTTTTCGCCGACGACACCAAGCTGCCCGAGATCATGCTCGCCGTCGACGGTTTTATGGACATGTACCACCTGCAGACACAGAGCGACGAGGACGAGACGCGCAAGGACTTGCAGCGGCTCGGGTTTGACAACCAGCTGAAGCCGGTCGCTGCGAGTACGCCGGCAGCAGCGCCGTCGTCGTCGTGAGCACCGTCTCAAATTATATAGTTAGATATTTATTCCTACCCACGGACTGTATTTCGCGAGCGACGGTGCAGTTCATGATTGAGGCCTCTTCAGGCCTGCAGCGCTGCGAGAGCACCTCGCGCCGCTTACCATAAAACTCGCGAATCGCACACTTTTGCTTACGGGCACGCTCAGAAAAATGAACCGAAATCCCTGGGCCGTGAACATGACGTGCGTCAGCATGCAGCGTGGGCGAACAATCGCTGTGGCCGGTTCCAGTCGTGCTCGTTTGGCCGTTCGAGTGGTGGTTGGCAGGTCGCTTCTGCTTGGTGCGCGTGCCTAGTCGAATCCGACCGCAACCGACTTGGTCGTCAACCGGCAGCTGCATCAATCCATAAAACCCAGCGAGGCCCGCGCGCGCTCACTCCCCGCAACTTGCTCGCGCCGATACCCGCCGAGATACCCTCGAGGCACCAGCGCAGCACGCAAAGCAATCCAACCATGGTGGTCGTCGAGCTCGCCGCGGCCGCGCTCGCGCGCACGACCCTTGCACACATCACCGATCTCCTGACGGCGCTCGTTGCGCTGCAAGCCGCGCTCGAAACGACCAAGGATAACCAGCAGTTGCTCGACGTGCTCGTGCGCCGCAGCAAGAACTTGCACGACACTCTGGCCAAGGCCGCGAGCCTGTCGGGTGGGGTCCTTCCGCAGTACCTGCAGGGACCCGCGCAACTGCTCCTCGACACGTTGCAGCACATTCGCGACATGACGGCCAAGATGGCGGGCGCGTCCAAGCTCAAGAAGCTCTTGTCCGCGGACGACTTTCACGACGAGCTCGTCGAGGCTGGGAACACACTCACGGGCGTCGCGGGCGACTTGCAGTTGGCGGTTCAAGTGCACGGGCTCGCGATCAAGGGCGCGAGTGGGCCCGCCGTCCCGCTCGCGTTGAAGCCGGCCATGGCAGTGCCCGTTCTCCCACCGCTCCAGCAGCAACAGCAGCAGCAGCAGCGACCCACGGCCACGCCCGCACCAGGTTCTCGCCCGCCGCAACCGCAACGTCCAACTCCGTCGCCGCAGCCGCCGCGTCCCGCGACGACCACGCAGCAGAAGCCGGAGCAGCACCGCCCGCCGACAGTCCTGCAAGAACAGCTCGCGGTGCCGCAGCGGCCGACGCGACCTGCGGCGCCCACACGCCCTGTCCAGCGACCGACGACGCTGCAGGTTCCGCGCACGAGTGCCGTCGCGGTCGCCGCACCGACCTCTCCCACGTTGCCTACGTCGCCGACGAATGGAAATGGGCCATTGCCCGGCGCGTGGCCCGCGGCGGCGACGGGGACCGCGGTGCTGGCACGACCGGCGGGTAGCCGGTGACGCCAGGCGGGCGGGACCGTGCCAGCGCGGCCCGCCCAAGACGGTCGTCAGCAGAAGGTGGAGAAGGGAGGCGACACGAAGAAGAGCAATAAGAAGAGAAAGGACGTGGACCGGCGCGCGCGGTCGCCGATGCCGGGTGGAGCAGGTGGAGCGTGATTGTTCGTGATCTTGATGGTTAGGCCCCAGCACGGCGGCTCGGTATATGCGCGCGCAGTGACCGGCTCGACCACCTCAGCTGGCTGGTGTCGTCCTCCCGCTGCTGTCGCCGTCGAGGTCACGTCGTGTTGCTTTGGCAGCTGGTTGTTGGTGCACTTGGGCTCGCTGCCGACGATATCTCATTTCTGTTCGCTGGAAATATATTTAATTTGTCGTTTGCTTCTGATTCCCCCCTCATTTTGAGCACATCAGGAGCGTCAATCGGCACGCCATTGGTGCCGTCATGTTGCACGCAACAAGGCCAACCACAGCCATCAAATCAAGAGGCGCCAACGTGGCGCTCTGTTCACTCATTTTTGGCTTGCGTTTTCCTCTTCCTTCTTCTAATTGTGCACCCAGGCACATCCGACTCGCCTGCGCCCCCACAAACGTTCAACGTTGCGCACCACCGGGCGGAGGTGCCTGCCTTCCATTCTCGGAATCCACCCGCCGGGGCCCGGGCTGTGCAAACCAAAATCGCGAGTCGCGGAGCAGAGCGAGCGCGAGCGGAACGCGTCGCGACGCGTTCGGCCAAGGCCTGAGCACCGGCTCGCAAAAGGCCTGGCTTGGTCGGGCGGGCTGCCGACTTCGATGCGCGCCCCCACCAACCGACACGTTTCGCCATCGATGTGCGGGCAAATCCCCCGCCACTCACGCGCTCACTCGGTCGCTCGCTCGCTGGCGCGTGTGCGCACCCGTCTGGCGCGAGTATAAAGCGCGCTATCGCCCGCGACCCAATCTCATCTCTTCACCGACACTTGCTGCCGTTCTCCCCCCAACCCACCCGACCAAGCTCATCACCATGTCGTACGAAGAGGGTCTCCGCCGCCACCAGCAGCAGCTCGAGGCGCACCAGAAGGCCGAGCAGGACCTGATTCGTCTGCAGCAGCAGCACGCGGCCATGACCGCGGGCGCGGCGTACGGCGGCAACCAGCAGCAGCAGCAGCACCAGCAGCAGAACCAGGGCCAGTACCAGCAGAACCAGGGCCAGTACCAGCAGCAGAACCAGGGCCAGTACCAGCAGCAGAACCAGCAGCAGTCGTCGTCCTACAACCAGTCGCAGTCGCAGTCGCAGTCGTCGAGCTACTCGCAGTCGCAGTCGTCGAGCTACTCGCAGTCGCAGTCGTCCAACTACCAGCAGACCAACAACTACCAGCAGACCAACAACTACAACCAGCAGGGCGGTCAGCAGCAGGGCGGTTACCAGCCGATTGGTCAGCAGCAGGGCGGCTACCAGCCCGTCGGCCAGCAGCAAAACCAGCAGCAGGGGCAGTGCCACCAGCAGCAGCAGGGCGGCCGCCAGGTCCGCGCCGTTACGGTCCAGATTGGTACGCTTCATTTTCTCGCCTTCTCGCTTTCTCGCGCGCACGGACGAGCCACGCGAGCCGGGCGACCCCATCCACTGACCCCCGCTTTTCCACACCTTCTCCAACAGGCGAGGCCCGCAACCTCCACGACGTGGAGTCGCTTGGCCGTCAAGATCCATACGTGGTCCTGACCGCTGGTTCGTCGAAGGTCAAGTCGCAGGTCCACAAGGACGAAGGCAAGAACCTCAACTTCAACGAGACGCTCGAGCTCGACCTGCAGGGCCAGTCGGAGATTCTGATTGAGATTTTCGACCACGAGAACATCAAGTCGGACGAGCTCATTGGCCAGGCCACGATCAATGTCTCGTCGGTCCTGCAGGGCAACACGTTCGACCAGTGGGTTGAGCTCCGCACCAAGCACATTGGCCGTGGCGCCGGTGAGGTCCACATCCGCGTCTCGCCCCGCTACTGAGCAAGTGCGTTGTGTACGGTCGGTGGTTGTAGTCGTGTAGACGGTTGCGTCGTCGCCGTGGTTTGCGGTGGACGCGTGCCGGCGGAGATTGATGGAGAGCAAGATTGCATGTAATCAGTCCCAAAATATGTACATTGATGCCCTGTGCAGTTTAGCTTGTTGCTTTTCGCGCTTTGTGGCGGGCCGGGTTCGTCTTTTTTTGCGAGTCGCGCTCATCTATTCGCGAGTTATGCTCTTTTTCTTGCGGGTCGCGCTGGTCTTACTCGAGTCGCACTTACTCGAGTCGCACGTACTCTTCTTGTGGAGGGTCGCGCTTGTCTTCTCACGACTAGCGCTCGTCAATCACGAGCCGCACTGGCTTTGTCACAGGTGGCAGGTCACGTCGCGGCGCGTCTCGCATTCAATCTCCACATCCATCAGCGTCCCTCCCGTGCTGGTTCGCATCTTGGAGGCGCCAAAAGCAAGCACCCCTGCCAGAAGCAGGCCCACCAAGATTTCTGCGCGCCGATTCCGATTCACAGGAACTGAACGCGTCGAGGACGACCAGCTCGCCGCCAACGCTTGGGGGTGGTGGTGGATGCCG